GCCGGCCGGGGATGAATGAAGGCATTGGGCGATAGGTGGGGTGTGGGGGCGGGGCCGGTCAGGGATGAATGAAGGCATTGGGGCGAGCGGGGGGCGGGGTTATGGAGAGCACGCTCGACGTGAGTGGGCCAGCCCACCGTGGGCGCTGCTTAAATAACATCGGGGAGGCACTGGGCACAAACATCGCAAACGCGGCGCAGTGGTAGCTGGGGTAATAACTTGCATTGTAGAAGAAGACATAGGGAAAAAGAGAGAAAATTCTTTTTTTCCTTCATTACCTACCACTCCCTACTGTTTGCAGAATTCCCTCCTCTATTCCCTGCCCTCCCCCCTCCTCCTGCTATTCATTCCCCTCCCCCTCTCTTGTTGTTGCTGTTGTTACAATTGCTACTCTCTCGGAGAGAGGGTCATGTCTAGCGTGCAGCCGCAGCAGCTCCCCGGCGGCTGCCTGGAGAGGATGGCGGCCAGGAGGACGTACCCCCTCCACGCCAGGACGGCGGTCTGCCGGAGCCTCTTCGGCCCGATCGACCACGACGAGTTGCGGCGGGAGACCAAGAGCAAGCTGCGGGAGATCAGCGAGCGGGACCGCAGGCGGTGGAATTTCAACTTCGCCACCGACACGCCGCTGCAGGGGGGCGAGTACGAGTGGGAAGAAGGCGGCGACGATGTGCCCGCTTTCTACCGCGAGAGCGTGCACCGGAGCAAGCCGCGGCTCCAGTGCCCCGTCCCGGAGTCCTGTCATTCGGGCACCGACGGCAGCGACCCCGCCGCCGCGCTGGACGGCAATGCGGACTCAGCCGGCCTGGCCCACCGCTTGTTAGGGCTAGAAGGCAACGAGACCAACCAAGAGAACCGCACGGATAACTTGCACTCAGGAATCAAAGCGGGCAGAGCGCCCTGTTTGCGCAAAAGGAACTCCACAGCACGAATCACAGGTGAGGCGAATGGCATTCCCGACCTGATCCCTCTAAAACTGTGTTTTCTTTTATAAATTGACAGTAAAATGCTTTTTTTCAAAAAATAAAGCAGAGGTGTCTTTTTGCTTACAATGCCTTGTGATTGCAATCTCTCCTAGTGGTTGCTGTTAAATTGTTTTGGTGCATTGTAGTAATGATCTCGCCCTCTCAGAAATGCTTGCGCAGCAACTTTCCTCTTTGAGAACCAAACAATGCAATCGAGCAAGACCGGTTGGAGAGACTGCTACCTCATTTTAAAAAAAAGTTATTTTCTTTTTGCCTATTAAGATGGTATCCCTACTTTCAAGTAGATGCGCACGGTTTTCGGAACTATAATGACAAAAGGGTTAAACCTGTTTGTTCTTTTTTAAATCTCTCAAAATATATTTTGTGGGTAGATTTTTTCGCCAAGCGAAAGAAGACGGTCGGATCTAAAGCTTCCAGTGAGAACGCGTCTCTCTCGGGGGTGCCCGGGGAACAGACTCCGCGGAAGAGAATACGATAAAAGAGAAGGAAGGGGCAAAACCCAGAAGGACAAAACAAAAAAAAGTGAGTAGTACCGTGGTGCGCTGAAATGCTGGAATTATGAAGTGGGGGGTGGGGAGGGAGCAACCGTGTTGGGGCATGAGGAACGGCTCATAGTAGATTTTGGTAGTAAACAACTCACTCCGTGATTTACGTCAGGGTTTTGGGGCGAGGTTAGAGTTGTCATTATCCTGTGACTAATATTTGGAGAACTACAGCGAGCAGGCGAGTCGGCAAGACCCCCACCCACCCACTTTATTTTCTTTCAACACCGACTTTTTAAAAAAAAAAAAAAAAATTTTGGGGGGGAAACTAGAGCTGTGTTGTGGTATGGGAGGGTGGGTCATGAGAGTGGGACTTAGTAGCATAGAGTAAGCTCAGACCTTTTTTTTTCGAATTTTGTAACCTGAGTGCCCGCAATCCATGACATTCAGAATTTTTTTTACCAGCATTTTTTTTGTTGTTGTTGAAAGCTAGTAATATCTCCCCGGGACACAGTGACGTCAGTCGGGGGTGGGGGGGTTGCAGACGTCACGGTGTGGTCAGATTTTGAGCTGACTCACTACAGGGAGGGTTGAGGAAGGTGGGGTGGGGGGGAGGTGGTGGCGGCTTTGATTTTTTACTCGGATCATTAACAAATGCTATTGTTTGCTTTGCAGTCCGACTGACCCTTTTTTCTGTCCTTTTTTTTCCTCACCCCAACACAAACTTCAATCTTGTAGATATTTGCACTCCACTTTTTTTTTAAATAAAAAGACGAATTGATCAATAAAAGAAGTGGCTGACGGCGACGATCACCATCTTGACTACTCCTCAGACTTTGCAAAAAGCATAGGACACTGATCCAGGAATTCCGAAGAGCGAAGGGGACTCGCCGTCTTTCGGTTTTTTTTTATACGGAATAAACACACAGTACATGTAGCAACCCAACCTCCAGTGGCACTCCCACTGCAGCAGTGTTAAGGAACACAGCGTGCAATTTCAACTTTTTTTGCATTGTGTCTACACTGTCCAAAGTGTAAACGTTTCACAATGAGTATATTACGGGCAAAAATAAGTTCTAAGTAGTTCTGCTGATTATATCGCAGTACGACTCCAGATGTATATTTGTAAAATACAAAGGCTTATACTAACTTATATTTCCTATTTATGTTAAGAATGGTTTGGACCAGTTGTGACACCCAATTGTCCCCTAACAAAGGGAACTAAAAGAGTAATCTTGACTCGCTTTATTTACAAACTATGTAATTTTTTTATTTTTTTAGTATGTGCCTTGCGTTCACATCTTGTTTGTATCTAAAATGTTTAGGTTACTTGAAGGTGAGCATAGGTCCCATGTTTTGGTTTCTGAGCCGTTTAATGTACCACTGCCACGTTTGTGTGTTGGTAAAAATTTTGGAATTACAAAGTGCATTTCTTGTTTCCGCTGAATAAACGAATACAGTTTAATTATGTCCAGTTCTTTTGTGTCTCGCTTATCTTTTCTATCCTGGACGGTGACCGCTACGGTTCCATTAGGTAAAATTGTGTGTAGAAACGCAACGGTTTTGACTCCACAAATATTGATCTCTCTCTCTCTCTCTCTCTCTCTCTCTCTCATCACTTCCCCCCCCCCTGAAGTGACGGCATTAATCACAAACTTGAACTCCTGTGTTTGTTGGTTAAGGTGTTTGCTTGGCCAAGTCAGCTAAATATGGCAAGATTAAACCGTATTTAGCACGAAACGGCATTTCTCTGTAAATGTGGTATGACTTTTTGTTTTGGAGGGGGGAGGGAGGGAAAGTCATTTCTCGTGAGAGAGGCAGAACAAACTGAGGAAGCAGAAATCAAACGTCCTGATGAGTCCGGCTGACCAAACATGAGGCATTGTCCCTGCAAATACCACACCAGGCCGGGGTGACTGACGCCTGGCCGACTATCGATGAGTCACCGTTACTCTATTTGGGCTCCTTCTTAAACACCTGCTCCTCTTCGCTGTCATTCAAAAGCTGGCCGAATTCCCGCCGCCTTCATCTCATTCTTTCAACAATAACACAAATGGGAGGGGTTATGGGGGGATGGGGGAGCGCTTCAGATTGATGGCCTCAGTGTAACTTTCTCTCACTCCAATCCGGAAGGCAGTGCTTCCATTGTATCTCGGTGGATTAGTTGAGAAACATGTGCCTTGGAAGCGAATGCTCGGTAGTAAGTGATTCATTTCAATGTCATTCAGTAATGGTCAACCAAAGGAAATAAGATTCCAATTCCACTCGTGTTTATTTTTAAAAATAGGAGCAATATTCAGTTCTTTTTATATTCCAGCTGATCTTTTCCTCTTTCTGAGATGCGTGTGTTTGGAGGGGGGGGGGGGGGGGGGGGTGGTGGTGCTGGGTTGTTTTCTGCCCAGCTTCAGTTGCCATTCGTACAAAATAACAGATTGGCTTTCATCATCCAGGTATTCAGTATGACACTGGAAGGATTGAGATTTGGGGGGAGGTGTGGAGAGAAAGGGGACTCACGTGTTAATTTTTTAAAGTCTCCAGCCTCGAACCACTGACTGGACTTTTAACCGTCCTTCCTTTTAAATAGCGGGCATTGCAGCCCAGTGTCTCGATTTCTGCTCTCCGCCCGAGGCTGGAATTGTGGAGGGGAAAGGATCCATACAAAAGATTGGCTGATCCCGTTATCAAAAACTGCATGTGTTTTAATGAGGATCACAGCATCTGAGGGCTGTGATTTGCAGATTGGAGGGTTTTCCCCCGTGAGCACTGAGACTGACTGGCGCGTTTCGGTGAAACAGAAAGTGTGTAAATCCGAGGAGGCATGTCGTTTCTGTAAATCTCCATCTCCGCGGTTCATTCTCCTGCGCAAGTACCAAACACCGTCTCGAAAGCAAGCAGAGCCAAAAGCGCACAGTCAGAAGATTTAACCAACCATTAGCGCCCTCCAACAAAAAAAACACAATGGTATGGGAATGGGAAAACAAAGTCAAAAACACTGTGTAGAGCGGCCAGCTGAAATGAAATCAGAAAATGTTGGGAAACAGACCAGCAAGTCAGGTAGTATTAACATAGGAGTCCATATTCCAAAGAATAAACGGTTCGCCAATTTCAACATTGATGACATTGAATGATAGAATTATGGCTTGTCAGCTCATGAAGGGTTTGAGAGACTGAAACATGCACAATACAACGTGCTATAGCAATATTTCCCGAGGAGGAGGGGGGAGTGGGATGGGCTTTGTATTTCAGTGACCATGTTAAACAATAATAACAATGGCCCAGGAAAGGCAGCTGTATGGAACCCGATTTATAGGCTCACTCCTGCTAGAATGGAAGCAGGTGTCTTACGCACCATTGTGTAGCAGCCGGCAACTAAAATAGCCTTGTCGAAATCACAATGACTCTCTCATAGAGTGCCCTGCCCAAAATCTAAATTCCATACAATTAATGTATATATATTTATATATGTGTGCGCGCCAGATTATGTAATATGAACTGATACATCCCCTTGATTCGCCGTGGCCCAGGTTGTTGATGGTTGTTGCACAGTTTTTTTTGTGTTGTCGCTACTTTTTTTGCAGTAACAGTGCAGGAGTCTTGTTCTCATTACAAACACAAAGCACACTGGGCCCCTATTATTCACGAGGTTTGTAGCCATATGGCAAATCCGTGTAGACATAGTCGAGATCCATTTATTCGGGGCGATAATGTCTTGCATCAAGAACAATTGGAACTTTGTTTGGCTGCTTTATATAGAAGCGAATAAGAGAGAGAGAGGGAGGGGGAAATAATCTAACTAGGAGAGATATCCAGCTAATTATAAACCAAGCCCATATGTGCCTATAATTTTAGAGTAATTGAATGAAGTGGACGAGGTAAAATAAAGTCATAGGAGAAAATACAAACGTTCGATTAAGGTATTTTAAAATATTACATGTACAATTGGACAGAGACATAAACCATATAAATTCCAATCAATGCTCCAAATAATACCCTGATCAATCCGCAATGGAGTCAAAGTTATAGAACATGACCACCAGGATGAATTTCCCCAAATTAATTCGCTTCGAATACACTTTATTTAAAGAGATTCAGCCAGCGCATCTCTGAAAAACCCAATTATCATTCCCCGTTATATCATAGACAAAACACACTCAGCGCATGTATATTTATTGTGTGTCTAAATAACTCAAAACATAAGTATTACTTTTTTTAAAAAAAAAACTTAAGCAACACTTTTTTTCTCAAACACTGAGCATCTACGCCGTGTGTGCAGGGGAACTACTACTTTATTTGATCTTGAGGTTATAGTAATGGCTGATGTCAGCGGATTTGTGTGCTAATACGCCACATGATGCAACTTGCCTTTGTAGACAGCTTTTTAAACAGAATAGATAGCTTTATAGACGGATTTATTAACAATATAGACAGCATCATAAACAATATAGACAGCTTTATAGACAATGGGCCTAATTTTTTTAAGGGGTTGTAACTGAATCTTTCTACTTGACCAACGCATTTTTATCAGTACCAGAGGATTAAGAAAATCCACTGTGATGATATCAACCAGGGAATATACATAAAGTGCCAATATTGATTGTAATACGAGAACCTATGATTCTGGTGTATTTCATAAACAAGGCAACGGATGGAGTTAACTCTAGTGAGGTGACGCCCTTTGATGGGTTGGGTAGGTGGTTTCAGAATCCATACATCAGGCGGATCAAAAACAACCACACCAGACACATTGTGCAACCGACGGCCGACGCAATAGAACTGTGTATCATGCATATATCACTAGCCATAGCTTCCGTTTGCTTATTACTCGTTGACCTGTGCTGTGTCACCCAGGCAAGCTCTTCGTGTGCAATTCCACTTAAGGCGGAGGCCACATTTGCGCCTGAGCATGTTGTTCGGCGTGGCTGATCCTCACAGAGAGGCCTTGGTATTGCTCGTCAAACGTATCAAGAGAAATCGCACCCATTTAATAAAGTGGCGGCGGTCATTGTGTCTAGACCAACGGCCAGCATACTGGGCCGCTTTATATCAGCCGTGTGACTTAGCGTTTGCTAAAAAGTTGATATGTTTCTGTTCTGCTTATTACCCACCAGGCATACATCACACTTAAGCTGCTTCGTTGGTATAAAGGCGAAATCTCAAAATAACTGTGTGGTCTGCGTAACCCAATCTGCTGCCATTGTGCGGGTAAAGATTTCAGCTCTTCCATAAGGAGATTATCACCGCTGTTTTATAATACTTATTGCGGTTGCAGTTCTGAAATAAATCCCTAGCTGTAAAGGAAAATGTTGCTTCTTCCACCATTCATTCATACTTTTTTTTAATCAGTAAAAGGGACTGGAACCCGAAACTAAACCGATTCATTCGTGTTTCCCCGCGCACACTGTTATATTTCAGTATTCGGTATACTATCACATCAAAGGGCACCGTTAAATGAAGTCGACATTATAAACTCATTGGATCGAGGACAAAACAAAATCAGTGCCTTCCCTAGGACAGAATGGAAGAGAAGCTGAGTGAGAAGGGAAAATCAACTGACTTAACCAATGTGTACTGTACGAATATTTTGGGTTGATTTTTGTTCTCACAGGGAGCTGGATCACAGCTCATTTTGGTGTGAACAGAAACGAGATCTTCACTTCTTTTTCCCCAGATGCCAGCGACCCTTCTTTTGAGAAAAAAAACTGTTAATCTCACCGAGGAACTGGACGGGTCTTGTTACAACGGCGCACTGCCAGAAATAGAAAACTTAATAAGCCCCCAATGCGTCCCTCTGACCACCGCCCCCCCCCCCCCCAACCCCAACAAACACGCCCCTGTATTCTGTAGATATGAGGCCGATCCCCTTTAGATCAGGGTCAAATGTCAGGTAACTCGCGCCTTTACATTGAAAGTACGGTAAACAATACCATTCCTATTTGGACTTGCGTCTCATTTATAATACTGAAAATGCTAAGCCGTTAATTTGAACCTTGTCTCGTTTCATTTCGTAGCCAATAATCCTGGTCCTGCTTAAAATCGAATCATCCAGGGCCATTCCACCTACTGAACACAGCACGAGTCCATTGTAACGCGGACTACTGATGTCTGCGCAGAGAATTATTTTTTTTTAAACAACACCTACACCCCCTAAACACCAGACAGCCAAATATTGTCTTTTGTGATAGCGCTTAAGGTGACCCCTGCATGAACCTAGTGGCATTTTTTTTCTTGCACCCATAACGCGGCGAATATTAGCACTGACTCGGCCGGGGTGGCGAAATCAGATCCACACTGAACATATTACAAAGTTGGTTCACCAGATTTAACGCCGTGTGGACATGGAAACCTCGTCTCAATACAAAACGACACGCACATTCCTCGTCCCATCTGCAAAGCAATACAATTTAATTCCAGAGAGAGAGAGAGAAAGCTAAGACAATTAGCATTTTACAGGGCATCTGGTACCAGGGTTT